CGCCCCCCGCCTACGGCCGTCGGCAGGCCCGGCGCGCTTTAGGGGCCTGCGTTTGCTAAGCCTCGACCCGTTGGGAATCGCCCAGCCCGCGCGCCCGCCCGCCCGGCCCACCTTGTTTACCTCGGCCACGTGGACTGGAGGCGACAGGGCGTCCCGCTCCGACGGGCGCCGCTCCCCGACGCGGCCTGCGCTGGGGGAAACGAGCCCCGGGCTCGCTGGCTCCGCAAGTGCGTCGACTTGGAAGAAATTTCCGCCCGTACAATTAAGAGATGAAGAACCGGACCCAGACAAGGCTCAGTTGCGCGTCAGGGGCGCTCGGCCCTCCCGGACGGCCCGGAACGCTCAGCTTTGCCACTGACCGAAGTTGGTCGCTTTCCTTGCGGAGTAGATGTGCTTCTCTTTTAAGCGCTTTTTCTGATCAGCAACTTTTTTATCTGAAGATGAGATAAAGAGCAAAGCCCATAGGAGCGCTCTCTCTTAGTAGTTTTCAGAACACGCCCTCCACCTTTACGCAGTTATCACGGTCGGGGCATTCAAATGTTAAGTAGGTATTTTGGACACACCTTTTATGGGATCACTGTATTTTCATCTTAATACTCTTAGGCCCACACTAGCTATCCTATGTAGTCCATTTTTTCCTTCTATTTTTTTTCTTTTTTTGGTCAATTTCTTTTAGAAGTGAAGCCCTTTCCCCAATTTTGTGAAATCGGAATATTTCCTCTTTGAGAACTGTTAAAAAGGGGAACTCTTTTTCGTGTGTCACATTGTTTCCCAGAATGTTTAAAGTATGTTCTAATCAAACATAGTGTATTCCATTTCGAAAGAAAGTTGACTCAGATTTCTGGTTTTACATAGGCTCAGCAAAATCGTTCATTTCCCCCTAAGCCTTTAGTGTGAGATACAGTCCCACCCTTTCTAGCTGTGCGTCCATGTATCACTCCGGCCTGGGCCACTGTTAATGAACTTGAAAACCTAAGCTGTTAGCAAGGTTCCTTGTGATGCCTTCAAGTGCAGGAAGCCAGGTTCTCCAAAGACCATGGGTGTCGCTTTCTGCAGCTCCATATTGTAGAGTTCTTCCAAGCGTGGGCTTTGGCCTGACACTTGAGTAGATCCTGACTCCACTTCTTATGGATGGTGTAACTTCGAGCTTGCTACTTTTTCTGTATCAGTTTCTTCATCTGTTAAACAGGCTGTAAAGCAGCGGAGTTTTCGTGAGGCTTAAATAAGACACTAGGCATGCTCCCGGGTAGCTATTACCAGGGCCAGTCATAAACCACCTACTTCAAGGACTTTTTCCTGACTGACCATAGAAACATATAACTGATTATATGGCTTCTTACACTTAATAATATATGGAAAGTACATTCATATGTGTTTGAAATAAGTACCTGCAGTTCCTTTAGATATTTATATTGTGTCTGGGAAAGCGATCTTTAAGGTCACCTTCTCATTTCATCTTCTGAAACCTCTCCGTGCTGGAACAGGTGCCTCTTGCCTGTCGGGATCGTGTTTGGTGTGCAGCTGGTTCAACAGGCCCTGAACATTTTCTTGCCAGCTTCTTTCTCTGCACCCCCGTCCTACCCTTAACCACCATGGCATGTGTTAATTTCAGAGAAAATGCGTTAGTTCTTTGACTACTGTGAATTTTCAACAGCAAAAGGAAGTAAAATTCCAAAGGTCTCCAAGAGTAAAATATTTCAAATTTTGTTTTCTTGATTTTATTTTTTAAAAAACTTCTTTCTAAATTGCTATTTCTGGGAAAGAAAGCTCTCCGTGCAAATTGGTTTTCACAATTGGGACATTAGTGCACATTTGTACTGATAATTCTGAGCCAGCTTTTATTAATTGTGTACATTCTTGAGATTTCTCCTCCCATAGGTGTGGATAATATATTTTTAAAAGATAATTTGCTGTTTTAACAGCAGCCAATTGTTACTAAATTCCTTACTGGGTTTTTCCCCTCAAACTAGAAATAGCAGTGCTGCTTCCACAGAAAATTCTTTGCCTCCTTAACAGAAGGGAAAGAAAAAAAAAAAAAAAAGAAGACTAATAGAACGAGTCCCACGACATGCTACTTGGGTAGAAAACTGGCCAATTGGCCTGGGCACCTGCTGTCTATGGCAGTTCTCAGTCTCCCAGCCCTGGAAGGGTGGAGCAGCTTCCTGTTTGCTGCTGCCCATTCAAACCCTGACATCAACAGTTGGCTTTACAATGCAAAAACATCTTTGTATTGTACAGGACTAACAAAAAGAGGACTAGATGGAGTCTTCCTTTTCTCCCCACGTGCAGAATGGGGAATTTTCTGTTCAGACTGCGTTTTCTCTTTAGCAGGGAGAAGTAGCGTGACCCGTACTGCTTTGGAAGAATCATAGTCGTTTAACAAAAACATTAAATCATGGCCTGGGGTCTCCCATCTCTGAAAATGTGTTTCTAAAGTGTAACATGATGAAGAACCTCTGTGTGCTTAAAAGACGGTTGACCTTCAGACAGCCTAGCAGTCATCCTGAGAAGAGGCGTCCTTGTTTCTCTAGGTGGGTGGCATCGTTGCACACCATGGGAAGGTGCTTATTTAACACAAACAGAATGCTAATTCAAAACAATCCTAAATGGATCAAACATTTAGCTGTATTGCCTTAACTTACTGATATATGTATACTGATTGGCCGGTAGGATGTGCCCAGGCACCTGAGAGACAAGAGGGAGAAAGCATCGCCCAGTGGGGTGTGCCCTTTCCCCCTCACTTCTCTACCCAGCAGGGTTTTGGCGCATGCGCATACACCCAAAGTGTTTTTCAAGCCAGGATTTGAATCGTGGTCAGTCATTTGGGATCTGACATTCTCAACCACTAGGCCACAGAGCTGGTCCACTTGTTGATTATAAATCAATAATTTTAATTAATACTAAAAACCATTATTGTAAAAATAATCATCATAATACTATTATGATAGGAATAGGAATCAGGAATCATGATATTATGAGGGTCTTTAGAATCTTTCTTTTAATCTCTTTTTTCTGTTTTATGCAGAGGGTGTGCCACATGAGCACGTGTGTGAATGTGCACGTGTGCGTGTGCGTGTGCGTGTGCAGTCAGACAGCGAGAAGCACACCACCGACAGGGCCTGTCCCACGGCAGTCCTTTCCTTCCAGCTCTCCATCCTGCTAGAGTCCTGGGAAACTCGCAGAGCTGTACTCAACGCCTGGTCGGCTGTGTGGGACCTGGCTTCCTCTGCCCAGCACTGAACCACGTACTCTGTTCCTGACCTTTTTTCATCAAATAATCTCTCTTTACACAATTTGGAAATTTAAAGTAGGTATAGTCCGTGGGGACAACTGGTGGCATGGTGGTTAAGGTGGCTAGATCCCACATGGCCAACTGCATGGTTCAAGTCCTGAACCTGGTGGCTTGAAAAACACACCAGGCATTTCTGCGTGCCTGTCCAGCATTCTGGGAGGAGAAGAGCAGGAGCAGGAGTTACAGCATGACTCCTCCTGTGAGAGGTGCTCTCTTGCTCACCCTCTCTTTCTTTGCTGCAAGTTCATTCACTTTCTAGTAAACAAACAATCAAAAACCCCAAAAAACAAAAAACTATATATATATATATATATATATACACACACACACACACACACACACACACACACACCCCTAAAAGACTCAACTCAGGGGCTATGCAATGTGTGTACTAATTTAATATGGTTGAAGTAAAGTATCAGATAAAACCGATGAAACTCAAAGCTTCCATCCTGTTAGAACATTGCCAAAGGCATTATAAAAGAATATTAAAATCTTCAGTGGGACAAAGGTCACATAGTCCCTTCAGAGGTATTACAAATATGCTGCTAATACCAATCCCCCGTTTTGTTTTTTTCTTTTTGCCATAGAGCATGTACACCTCCTGAAGAGAGACAGAGAGAGGGAAAGTGAGAAAACACCCCCCAGGGAGTAAGGCCATGACGAACCCCTTCTCCTCCATTCTCCTCCTTGAATTTTTGGCATGCACGCGACATGCTCAGTGTGATTTTCAAGCCACCAGGTCTGGGACTCAAACCATGGTTGGCTATGTGGGAGTCCAGTTCCTTAACCACCATGCCACCTGCTGGCTCCCCAACCCATCATATTTTGAGAAACATTTTTTTCTCTTTGTAAATTCTGCCTTTACAATTCAATAACCACTCTTGTTATTCTCATTTAAATTTGGTAACTCACTTCATTTTGACAGCAATTTTTCAACTTTAAAGATTAATTTCTATTAATTAATAAATTTTGGTCTGGCTCTGGGGCCTGGTGGTTAAGCGAGACGGACCTCACTCACATGACTGCCTGCGTGGTTTGAATTCTGACTGACAGCTTGAAGAACAGGCCAGGCACATGTTCATGCATGTCAAAAATCCCAAGGATGGGGACTAGCAGTTAGCGTAATGGCTATGTCGCTGGACTCCCATGTAGCCGACCGCGGTTTGAGTCCCGGATCTGGTGGCTAAAACTCATGCTGGGCGCATGTGAGTGCATGCCCCAGATCCCAAGAGGAGAATGGAGGAGAAGGGATTGCAGCGTGGCCACCCCCCCTAGGGAGTGATTTCTCTCTTTCTATCGCTCCTCTCTGTCTTTCTGGCCAGCACATGCACCCTATAGCAAAAAATCTTTCAAAAAAAAAAAAAAAAATCCCAAGGAGGAATGAGGAGAAGAGATTGAGAGGTGATCGCTTTTCTTTTGGGGGTGCTTTCTCCTCTCCTTTTCTCTCTGTCTCTTTCTCTGATGAGTGCATACATTTAAACATAAATAAATAAAATAAAACCAAAAAAATAAATTTTAACTATTAGTAATTGCCTCAGCAATATTTCACATTTATATAGAATTTTATAGTTTTTTAATTATTTCATGTATACCATTATGATTTAATATTAAAAATTATATGCCATATGGGGCCAGTAGGTGGCATGGTGGGTAAGGCCCTGGAATTCCCACATGGCCAACCATGATTTGTGTTCTGTACCTGGAGGCTGGCTTTCTCTCTCTCTCTCTCTCTGGCAAAACTCATGTGAAAAGAAAGAAAGAAAAATAATTCTTTAAAAAAATCACATGCCATATTCAAAGTGGCATTTACTATCCCATGATATAAATATGAAAAGTGAGGTTAAGTGACCTGGTCAGGATCAGGCAGCCTGTGACTCGCGGAGTGGCCCTCGAACCTAGTGGACAGTGCAGCGGTTAAGTACTGCCCCAGGAAGCCAGATCCCACATGGCCAGCCAGGGCTGCAGTCCCAGCTCTGGCAGCTTGAGCGCGTGCACCTAAGATCTTGATAGGATAGAGGAAAGGATTAGAGACTGTGGCATGACCAGACCTGCCG